GCTTCCTTCAACACAACCCACCCTCTTCACTGCCTAGGGACACAGGAGGGGCTGGGATTGGACCGCTAGAAGGCGAGGCATGTCAGAGATGAAAGAAGAGAGAGGAGGATGGGACTCAGAGAGAGAGACATGGAAAAAAGATGAGAAGAGAGTGGAAGAGAGAAGAGGGGAGGGAATGTTGAGTGGTTGGATGGAGGGATTGCAGGCTAGCTAAAGAAGTGAGGAGAGTGGTATGAAAACATCTGTGATGGATTCAGAGGTACGAGTGCCAGATGAGCCAGAAGCACACACTGTTCCTCTCCCGTTTCTTCCCTCTCTCTCTGTGCACCCTATGACTCTGGCCCAATTCACATCACAACGCAGCAGCCTTGTAGCCAGGTGCCACATTTTGACTCACATGAGCATCCAGATGCAATTACATACTGTACTCTGTAATTTCTTTGGCTCATGAACTCTGGAAAAGTGAAAATGCATGTGTACTTGTTACTCAGTGTATGATGTATGAGACAGTGAGGCTGTGTACCAACGAGACAGACAGGAAAACACTTCTACAATAACACACACCTCATCGTCTAGCTAGCAGCCTGACAGCTACTGTGCTTCCTGTCTGCCAAAGCCCGCAGTCTGGGCTGAGAGAACCTCTAATTCTGAAATAAAGTGGGAAAGCAAAAGAGGGTATTATGGTTTCCCTTGGCTTTGTTTTATCCGCAGCACCTGCAAGAGATCTAATGGGAAATTCAGACTCTATGAGAAGAACAGGAACCTTTGCACAGAGCCTTCTAAAGAACACAAGTAACCGTTTACATATGATGAACACATGTTACATGATGTGAAATCACAGCTATCTGGACCAGATTAGCATCTACACTGCTCTGACAAGACAACTATAAGCAGATGGGTGTCACTCTGTTGAATAATGGATCTCTATGTATAAAACAGGATGCCTGTTTTCTGTCTGTTCACCTCAGAGTTCAACGTGACCAGTTTCTGCAGAGAGGTGGGACCTATGTCTTACTCCACGATGAAAATCCTAAGACTGGATGGAAACAAAATGTCCTACCACCAGCTGCCCCCCAACTGGGTCTTCTGTCTGCGAGTGCTTGAAAGTATTTACATCTGATTCCACTTTCTGAACAGGATTTCTGTATGTGACTGGCCAGCCTCATGTTGTGGTACTAATAAGAAAAACGCACAGTAAATTTAGGATTTTTTAAAATTTTGTTAGGCAGCTCATCATTTGTGAATACACACCAGAGAGGATCTTGTAAATACATGTTAGCTAAAGTGAAAACAAACTTTCAGAAGATGCTTGACCTTGAACACTACACCAGCATTCTTTTATTGTAGTGCCAAAAGTTCTGATGAAAACATTTCTCAGTGCATTCTGCTGAGTTTCTCTCTACATCTTTTCTGGGTTCAGCCTCAGCAGGGTAGTACATCTGTGTGCTATTAGCAAATAAGAACTAGGACAAACCCTCTTAAGTCCGACTGTACAGAGTAATGTGCTCAGGTTAAACTCAGCTGATACAACTATTATAAAATCATTAAGTATATCTATCCATACAACTTTTCATAACAAATTTGAACTTGATTTGTGAAGCTGGTCAGATATGACATTTGCTAAGTGCCAGTACAATAAAAAAGCAGTTCATCATCATTATAAGGGTACTACACATAAAAACGAGTGAATGTATGCCAAGGGGTAATCCTGTGCAGTGAATTCAGCCAGGGACGGATCTAGAAAATTTTGGATGGGGTGGCCAGGCTGGGGCACATACTCAGAGAGAGGTGGTACATATGAAATACATGTAAAAAGTTAAATAAACCCCTAGTTCTATGAATTAATAGCAATATATTATTAGCTACCAAACTGTTTATTTTGTATAAAAATTAAACACACACACAGTGCTTTCTTTAGCCAATTCTGGCTGTGCTCCTTGTTTACTCCTGAACAGGCACAGTGGAAGTTCTGCCACTGAGGTGAATCATGCCGAGTACTCCACAACAGCACAGTCAGAGAAATGAATGCAAATTAAAATTATCATGCTGCATGCATGATATAACATAAAGCTAAATTGACCAATATCAATTATAAAGCACCAGAAAAATGTTAGATTTAATGCAACAATTAGTCATCGTTTTTTATTTTTCATTCATTAATACTGATAAGCATTACATTTTGATTGGCTCCAGGGGTGGCCAATCAGATTGTGGGCGTGGCTGGTGCCACCCCCATTGGCTCTGCCCATGAATGCAACAAGAATGTGTAAGTGATATTTACTATGGCAGACTTACAAAGCTTAAATAAAAACAAAGAAGTAAGGACATTCATTTCCAGGTGTATGCATTTACTGTAATGATAAACAAAATATATTTTAACAATTATTTATTTTGTATCTAACTGAAATAGTTGTTTTCTATTCTGACATGAAAAGAACCAGTCACAGGTTTTTAAATCTTCCATAGCCTGTTGACTAGTATGTACAGTAAACAGTCTAGAATGTGTAGGCAGTTTAAACAACAAGTGTGTGTGCAGTATGTGCAATTACAATCAGTTAAATATGGAAAACTGAAAAGAAAATATAGCTCAATATGAGGCCTATGTAGCAGCAGTGGTAATGATGATTTCAGTAGTGTACTGTCTTTTGAGACCTTTTGACAATTGGCCATTAAGTACGGTATGCATTAAAGGATTTACTGCATGCTGTTTGTGACCCTGTGTTGTGTCATGATCCCATTATAGTTTATTATGTTGGAGGAAGCATCTGACCAACAGAGGAGAACAGTGTCTCTTAGAGACACACAGGTATCAGTGATTAAAAATATATTGATAGAAACTGCTGACATAGGTGAAATCTAGTCACTTCACAAACAGAAATGCTGTCATCTTTTCGTAAATGTCAAATTTCCAGACTGTTCTGTGCTGACGTGTGTGGCAGCGCAATCTGAAACTTTCATAGACAATAACAAACAACAGGAACAAAGCAGTACCTGAATGAGTATTACTGTGATCCCCAAGCCTAATAATTACACATACTGTATCTTGTCATTTACATCTAATTGTCTCAGCACTTCTGTGCTTCAGTCTGATCTTATCTTTAGAATCAGTGAATTATAAAATCATTGTACATTACTGACAAACAGACCACAAACGAAGAACCAAGACTGATCATCTTGTTTTTCTCATAGTGACTATTTTCCTGTTATTTCAGTATAAAGTTTACTAAACTCTGAGCTAGTTTCCTCATAATTATAAAAAAGCAGAGTCAGGATCATTTCTTCAGTAAATGCAAAGCAAGTCCCTGTAAGATCAATTGTTTTATTGTTTAAAGTGTTAAACAATATATAAACTATACACACACACACACACACACACACACACACACTAACAACTACTATATAATATCTGACCCATGCTTAAAATCTGAAATAAGATGGTTTTATTAAGTTTAGATGGTTGTCACCATGTTGTCTGTAATGGAAAACTAATTTGTAATACTACAGTACAATACATTTTAGGTTTCCTCTTGCTATCCTTTTGGGCTTTGTGTATTTACAACATAACTTTTCCTGTAGGTGAAGACTTGATTACACAATACTTGAATTCAGGTACTCAACTGCAGTAGCTACTCACAGTGCTTATTTTGTTTGTGTGTGTGTGTGTACTGCCATATTTTCCAGGTGACACCATGTCTTAAAAACACCGGTCTGATCAGACTTGTGCTATGTCTGGACCCACTTTTACCAGAAGCAGGACACAGATTTCCTTTGTTAAACCAGTATTAACCATAAAACTGTGTGTAAGCTTGTTCCAGTGACGACCCAGCGGGTGTATGAAGTCATTATGGAGGGAGACAAGCTGAAGAAAAAAGTACATGGTTCCATGTTGCTGTTAAGAGACCATTTCACAGTTTGGGAAATATATACGTAAATTTGCTTTCACTTTCTTTCTGAGAGTATAGATGACAACATTGATACCAGTGTTGCATCTTTCTGTTAGATTTGAAACTGGAGCCAGGACACAGTAAGTTTAGATAGCTCAGAGGAAACTTCTACACAGAAAAAGTTGCATAACACCCGATAAACCCAGAACTTAAATTTACGCCTTGTTTTTCTTATACTGGCTAAACCCGTATTGCTCTGCTATTACTCAACCTTTAACACCTTCACGCTTGTCCTCAGCTGCTCTAACACTTTTATTTTTATTACCACCTGCATGCTTTCCTTTATAAATGTGAAATCCACTACCACTTTACTGTAGTTCTAATTTTCTCCACAAACTATTTTTCCTGTCAAATGTTTTTAGTTTTACTGCATTCCCGCCTTGAGCACATTTGGCTGCATTCCTCATTTTCAGAGACGTGAAGCACAGTGATCAAATAAAAAGCACACATTTATAAGCATCATCAAAACTTCCCTTATGTTCTCAAACTTTAGTTGATATGATATAGTTGATATAGTTCATAAAATTTGGATTCTAAAAAAATAAATAATTCATGCTAGTTTAGAAGTTATTTGTAGTCTAGGGCATTGTATGTACAGTGATTTAAAACCAGACTGAAACTCTGACTGGTGGAGTCATTAAAGCTCTGGTCTAAACTCCGCCTTGGAAACCAACAATCTGCTGTGAAGCTCCCTGTAGTGTCATAACAGCCACATAGAGAGTTGCAGAGCTCAGGAGCTGCCACATCTTACATCCCTCTGCCCACAGACACCCGGTCTCCATCGCAACAGTCTTCTCAGGTTAAATATGAACTCTTTTGAGTGGATCTTTTGAATCCCATTCTAATTTTATCTACTGCCCTCAATAGTCTGTTTTAGCACTGTTAATATTCCAGATGGTTCTCAGTTGCTTCTTGATTTGTTCTCCATTTCTTTCTCCAGAGTTGCTAGAGACCTTTTAAAGTGACACTACTCAGTTTCTTTTCAGCTGCAAGAGGGTCTAGTGAGATTTCAAACAAACTCACACCAGAAACCTCCCCTTATCACTCAGTTCCATCCCATCCTGTTTCCTAGCTACAATGTGAACTATGGATGCCTGGCTGTGACACACTGTACAAAAGGCAGCCTCCAGAGTAATATGATGAGTAAGTCTGGTAATCCAGTATAATACTCTGATTACTGCTAATGTGACACAAAGCACCTAGCTAGGTGGGAGGCGGGGCTAATTTATGGACCCTATTTTGACAACACAGAATAAAGATGCTCAAATAACCATGGGGCTGTTGGTGACAGACTGTTATCAGACAACATGTACAAATCTTTGGTAATGCACCTTTAAAGAGAATGAATAGTGGTCTTTTCATCAGAAGAACAAACTTTATTTAAGCTATCAAAGTAATTAAACTATAATAGCACTATGCGCTATGGATGATGGGTGTTAGCAAGTACAGCTAAGTAGTTGCACTGGAGGAATGTTGGTTTCTAGATTTTTTCTTCTGAGATTATACTGTTGTATCTTTCTGACAACAAAATTTCCAGCTGTTTGGCACATGTTAGTAGTCCTGTTTCAGCTGATCCTCAATGTAGACTTTTAGGACTATGAATCACTTTTAGATTTTACTTTTGTATTGTGGAAGCACTGGCTGGTTTGAGTGTGATTTGTTGCTCTGCTGAGATCATGATTGACTTGAGGTCTGGCTGGTAGGTCAAGTGTTCCAGTAGTTGCAGGATACTGAAATGGAGAAATTTTGTGTTTTTTGGATCAGTTTAAAGGGGTTGAATGCAAGATGTATCACTTCCCTGTCTGTCCCACAAAACCAGTTTTTTTTTAAGATCTAAGTTTAACAAATAAGTGTCAGATAAAATTATTGGACAGGCTGATGAACCAACCGACTCTACCAGGGGAATAATACAGAGAATTTCGGGTCTTCCAGCTGTGTGAAGAGCCACTAGGCAGAGATATCATCTCTAAATTCATTGCAGACTCGTTTGGTAATTATGGGTTTGGCTAAATGACCAAGGAAGTCGTCAGTTTCATTTACAGCCCTGTTTACAAGCAAGACTAAGCTGTCCAGCTTTCTGATTGGCAACACACACATAAACACACACAGATGCTGACTCAGCTCTTCTGTATTTCCTTTAAGGCCTGAAGGGAATTATTTATGTTTTATAGTTATCAACAGGCAATGTGGTGCAGTAAAAACTCTTCATTGCAAAAATGAGAACACATGTTGTTGTTTTTTTTCTAATTGTGACAGCAGTTAATTTTAATTTTGAACAATTTAAAATATACTTGTGGTCACAAGCTTATGGTAATGAGTCTCATACATAATGAAGAGCACATTAATCTTCACAAACTCTTCTGGTTTTGAGTAGTAGCTTCAGCTACTGAAAGTTTTGGTATAAATGCTAAACCTACCCTTTGTTCTCATATCTGTTTTTTTTTTTTTTGTGCAATAATTGCGCTAACATAATAGAGAGTAGATGTAGTTTTTCCTGTTCTCTTCGACACTTTCAGTA